TCGAGTTGACACTGATATACTAATTATAAATCACCAATGATAAAGATTTTCTTGTTGTTTCTCACGAGGAAACTGTGAGTTAAATTTCCTTGTGATTGACTCTGTGATTGTTTGTGGTGGATCCAAAGGTTTGTATCGATAGTTTTTTTTAAACAGAAACAGAAATGTTTATTTTCTAAATTCAAGTCAATAATTGTAGTCTATTTGTTTGCCATGTTATATTGAAATCGAACAAAAATTGTAGGAAAAGTAGCATTGTGAAAAAAAAAAATCTTTACAGACAGACAGACGGACGGGCGACGGACGCATTACTATCGCATAAGCTCTTCTGGTCTCTGACCAGTAGAGCTAAAAATCAACTGTCTCTTTTCTCTAGCAATTATATAAACCAGAAGTCTCTTATGATACGGAAGCTCTACTGGTCTGTACATGTAACAAAGGAAAAGTAGCACTTGTATTGAAACTCTGCAACGGGCAGCAATAAAAAGAATTATGTTTCTTAGTGTAGTCTACTTGTGTGCCAAATTTTAATGAAATCAAATAAAAAATTGTAGGAGGGGTAGCATATTAAAGAAATTTCACAGAAATGTGTATTTTAAGTAACCATGGCAACACCCTTCATCGAAATCAAAAACCGATGCACTAGTTAGCTTACCTGAGCCGAAGGCTCAAGTGAGTTTTTCTGATCACATTTTTGTCCGTCGTCCGTCTGCCTAGCTGTCCGTCCGTCTGTAAACTTTTCACATTTTCGACTTCTTCTCAAGAACCACTGGGCCAATTATAACAAAATTTAGTAAAAAGTATCCTTAGCTTGGGTGAAGTGGAATTTAAATTGTAAAAATGAGGGGCCAGGTCTTCTTAGAAGGGGAGATAATCAAGAAAAGAAAAAATAGGGTAGGGTCATAAAAAATTTTCTTCTCAAGGACAACTGGTCCAGAAAAGCTGAAATTTGTGTGGAAGCATCCAGGGGTAGTGTAGATTCTAAATTGTTCAAATCATGATCCCCGGGGGTTGGGCGGGGCAACAATAGGGAATCAAAGTTTTACATCGAAATAAATAGGAAAAATCTTTAAAAATCTTCTCAGAAACCACTGGGCCGGAAAAGCATAAACTTATGTGAAAGCATCTAAGTGTAGTGTAGATCCTAAATTGTTTAAATTTTGATCTGTGGGGTAAGATGGGATCACAAAAGATTACAATGGGGAGATCTGGTTAAGAATAGCATGATCAAAGCTTCTCAGGTGAGCGATGTGGCCCATGGGTGTAATCTACTTGTGTGCCAAGTTATAATGAAATCAGACCAAAACTGTAGGAGGAGTAGCGTTTTTAAAAGGCATTTCTCAAAAATTTCTATTTTTAGTAACCGAGGTAACAGTGTTCATCGAAATCAAAAACCGATGCAAAGAATTATGTATCTTAGTGTAGTCTACTTTTGTGCCAATTTATAATGAAGTCAGACCAAATCTGTAAGAGGAGTAGTGTTTTTAATGAGTTTCTCAAAAATGTCTATTCTTAGATCATGTTACTATGACAACACCGTTAATTGAAATCAAAACTGATGCACTAGTTTATGTATCTTAATGCAGTCTACTTGTGTGCCAAGTTATAATGAAATCAAACCAAAACTGTAGGACAAGAAGCGTTTTAAAGGTATTTTTAAAAAGATTCTATTTTTAGTAATCATGGCAACACTGTTCATTGAAATCAAAAACCGATGCACTAGTTTATGTATCTTAATGCAGTCTACTTGTGTGCCAAGTTATAATGAAATCAAACCAAAACTGTAGGACAAGAAGCGTTTTAAAGGTATTTTTAAAAAGATTCTATTTTTAGTAATCATGGCAACACTGTTCATTGAAATCAAAAACCGATGCACTAGTTTATGTATCTTGGTGTGGTCTATTTGTGTACCAAGTTATATTAAAATCAGATATGAACTATAGGAGGAGTAGCGTTTTGAAGGAATTACTCAAAACTTTCTATTTTTAGTAACCATTGCAACACCGTTCATCGAAATCACAAACCGATGCACTAGTTTATGTTCTTAATGTAGACTACTTTTGTGCCAAGTTACATGTATATTGAAATCAGACCAAAACTGTAGGAGGAGTAGCATTTTGAAAAATTGTTTACAGACAGACGGACGGACGACGGACACCTTAACCATTGCATAAGCTTTTCTGGTCTCGTCCCTTGGGGATCCGGGTTAGAACAGGTCCTCAGTACCCCCTTGCTGGTCGTAAAAGGCGACTAAATGGGGCGGTCATGCGGATGAGACCGTATAAACCGAGGCCCCGTGTCACAGCAGGTGTGGCACGATGAAGATCCCTCCCTGCTCAAAGGCCGTAAATGCCGAGCATAGGCCTAAATTTGCAGCCCTTCACCGGCAATGGTGACGTCTCCATATCAGTGAAATATTCTGGAGAGGGACGATAAACAGTATACAATCAATCAATCAATCTTCTGGTCTCTGACAAGTAGTGCTAATTTTTTTTTTAAAAAAACGTGTGATGCTGCTATCCAAATTAACCAGAAGTCTCTGTCGAGTGTACAGTTGGGTATTTTTTGTGGAGCGATTGTTTTGGGGTTTTGTCGATTTTTTCATTTTGTACACATGATGAATAAGTGTAATGAATATAATTTTTGAAAAAATGTCAAATAAGCCCCGGGGTTGAATATCGCGGGGGGGGGGGGGGGGGGAGGGTCCTGTCTACAAGTACCTGTGTCCTACCATTGACGCAATTATATACCATTGTATGGAAGAAATATAATATTTGTAACATGTTTCCTGCTTTTATTAATTCTGAGTGCTTGTCAATTTATCATTGAGTGAAATGCTGACTGACGTTTTTCAAATTACATATAAATGTTAGTCCATTTTTATACACTGAATTGATTACGAATTTTACCATTACTTCCCGATGATGACAAGGAGCACACGGCGAGTGTGACCGGTCAGCAGGGGATGCTCTCTCCTCCATGGCACCTGATCCCATCTCTGATGTTTCGGAGGTCCGTGTTTGTTCTGTTCCTTTTGTATCGTTTTAGGGACTTTGATATTGAATATTCACCAAAAGACGCGCATTAAAAAGAAAAATATAAGCAATGTTTCAATAATTTCTGAACGGCCCTCCTATTTTATCGAGAGTAATACAGTGTTTTCAATTCTTTTAGCTAGTTTTATCTATTGTAAATGATAATAAAGGTTCAAATCTTTACGTTGTTATCTTGTTATATGAGGAAGATCCAATTTTTTTTTTATGATTTAAACATACTTGTAGCTAGCGAGTTTAATACTTGACAGCCATGGACACGAGTTTCCTCTACTGTTTTAGTTATCTGCTCCTGTACAATACACCGCTGACACGGACGTGCGGAGAGTAAGTTCACCATGTTATCTATTTCCGAAATAGAACTCATTCTTTAGCAATGAACAATAGCATGCTGATAATTAATGTTTAAACAGAGATCTCCTCCTGACACACCAGCCACGCTACTGAGACATATATACGAAATTAATATAATATTATATTAAGTCTTTTTAATAAGGCATTACATAAAAGCCAACCACGAAATAGAAAAAAGAGATGTGTTTTATTTATTTAATGAAATGGAATGAAAAAAAGGTTTGTCTATAAACTTCTGGTTTGAAAAAAATCAACTATTGTCCACACCAATGAAAGACTCTTTATATAGACGAGATGCACAAGGAGAGGATTCGTCATTAATTAAGTAGATTAAGAAACAGGAAGCGAGATCAGCTGACCCGAATCATGTATTTGTATATTATGATTCCGTCATCATTAAATATATATAGTTTATTTCCTCGTCTAAACCTAAAGAAGCACGCCGGGAGCATACGTTGTTTGAATTGAAAAAAATGCAATTCTCTTCGTTGATTATTATATCTCTAGTAACATTTCTTGAAGGCTGTCGCAAGTAAGTAAACAGTTTATGATGACTTTAATACTCATAAAAAATCTGAATGTTTTCTTTTCACGTTTTGCATAAATTAAAGGCTTAAAGTAATATACGCCGTATGGATGCCGATTTGTATGTGAAACAAAATGATTAAATGATTTGAAACACATAAAGTGTAATGAAAAAATAATATTTCCACAAAATTTAAATATAAAACTCGTAATAACAGAACAATAAAGCAATATCTGCAATCAAGAATTAAGTCTTTTCATGAATATTGATAAAGGAAGTGCGTAAACAGTAGGTCTAAATATAGACACATATGTCCACGGGAAATTATAGACAACGAGGCACGTTGCATTTTGACAACGATTATTAATAAAAGGTTAATATGCGTCATAACAGAATATAGATGGTTGATACTGATTACATTTAAAGATAAGTTATATTAATAGTAACACGCCATCCATGTCAAAAGTGAGTTGTATCTCAAAGGGCTTACCTCGTTTTCTTGACGCCGTGTTTGTTTATCAATCTAAAAGTAGCGACGGCGTCACGTGGTGGATTTACTTAAAAATAGACATTATTCTCCTTGCATGATAATAAATAATTATAATTTGATAACTTTATAACGAATTTTATTTAAATGGTGTAATTTACAGCATTTTCGTAACTTTTATTGGTAAACAAAATATATAAATTTCCAGCCGTATTTAAAATGACGCACGTTATAGCATATATTACTTTAAAGCATTTAATTAAGTAACAAGTCATCATTGCAAAACATCTATCTGGGTATAAATACTGGTAAATCATTTCAAGAAAATTCATCAAGCTAGCGCTTTAATTTGATCACGTATTAACATGATTAATCCGTTTTTATATGTATATCCTGAGAGATGTTTATATTTACATTAATATAAAGAAAAATATTGGAAAAAATTGTACAAATATATGCATTGAATGGTTTGCTTATATGTATACACTTTTTTCCCACCAGTATATTAATATCAAAATTTTGTCTACTAAATCTGTTTTATGTTAGTATGAAGTTATAACTATATCGACACCTTTTTTCAATGACTAGGTCCGGAGATTCATCATCATTTTCACTGAATTGTTGTCCCGATTATTATCTCAGAAATGGAGTTTGCGTAGGTAAATTGAACACGAATATAAAATTCTGTTAAGCTTGATATGTTGGATTTTCACTGTATACGTTAGCTTTCTTCCCAACTATTCCTTCAGATTGCCCAGATGGAAAGTACGGACCAAGTTGTCAGTTTGACTGTGAGTACCCAAGGTATGGAAGACGATGTCTTGGAGGAAACTGTACCTGTTCTATAGAGGCGTGTGATCCGGCAACTGGATGCCGAGAAATAACAACTAGTAGGGTTTATATTTCCTCATATTTACAGTAAATTAAACTTATTTATTAAGAAGTCCTGTGGATATGTTCTTTAATAATCTATTTAACATGCACACAATTTTTGTTTTGAATATTCAGGAATGAATTTTTAAAAAATCATTATAAACGAGATTTCCTTGTGAATGTTTTATTATTTATGCATGATCTACGTGAAACAGGTTTAGATATATATTTTAGTATATAATATTATTGGAACTTACGATATTGTTGTATTTTTCTTAAGCTGTGCAGACAACTAGTCATGAAACTACGATATCATCAAGGAAAGTGAAGACAACACCAACGACTTTTAAATCTACCATAGACGAAAAGGATGTTCGTCATCGACGAACGATATGAGAAGTGAAAGAAACATATCGGAGAATTTTGTAACAGGCAACATTAAAATGGACTCAGAAAATATCAAAGACGAACAGAAGGCCAACGAAGATTCCCAAGACGTTCCACTCAACACCATAATTCTGTCTGTCATCGGTGGATTAGTCATACTACTGCTCATTATTGTGATCAATGTACTGATAAGAGGAAAACGGAAAGTGAAAGTTGAAATAGGAGATTCTGTAGAGAACAGTAGTAGAGGACATCTTAATACCTACTGCGAAATAAATGATCTAAGCCTTCCAACGACTTCGCAGGATTGCAGAAGTGATTTGGGAAAATATGAACTTATTGTCCAGTCCGGAGAGAACAAGAAAAGATTTTCCTCACTTCCAATATCAGAGCAAAACCGAAAAAGCGACGCAGGAAAGTATGAGCTGATCAAGACGTCAGATAAGGAAAGATCGAAATATTCTACTCTACCCTCTAAAACCACGTCTGTCACAAACGGAGATAGTTATATAACTCCAGTACCTTCTGCAATTCAACTTACAGATACGCAAGAGGAAGACCTTCCAATACCTAACGAAATGAAGCAGGGGACCGCAGAATCCCCTGTAATACTTAGTAAAGCTATAAATGACCGTGATCCCAATTTATTAGCGGTTTCAGGTTCCTTTGCAGTATCCAAACATGTTAGTGGTTATATTGACATGAACGAATCTGAAAAACCAGATGAGTATGTTCCGATGGAGGGTCAGATTCATACCCTGAATAACTCTGATCCACGTAGGTGTGAAGAAAAACATATATTGAACGAAACTTACAAGTGATAGACTTAAGCACAACCTTTCCTTCCATTGGTTCTTTTTTAATAAGATGAAATATGACAGTCATGCATAACATCCAGCTTCATCTTTTTGTTGATCTTTATAAATATATAAACATATTTTAAATGATGTTGAGTGAAAGTCCTACTTGTATGATATTTGTTCAGTATTACTGTTGCTAAGTTAGAAATTGAAAGATTGTTTAAGCTAAGGTACATGTACATGTATATCGCCCCCTTCAAAATACATCATTTTGAAGAGTACTTTAACTAAATGTAAGATATTTGTGTGTCGTTTGCTCAATTATCCTTCCTTTTTTATGGGTATCTTCCAGTTGAACATAAAGATTACTTTTTAAATATAAACTTATCGTAGTTTTGTAAATCCGCAATTGATATAAGTCATTGTGAAAAAAACTATTTCTATCTCACTTGCACCCTTTTGCACCAGGGTAAACATTGGATTAAGGCATATAGAATTTGGGCTGGGGTACCGTCTACCATATTCCGTAATATTTTATTTCTTTCAATTTAATAAATTCTCTGAAATTCTAGTTTCTCTCCTATGCGTGAACCTTATAAATTCATACCCCAGGGACCCATAAACTTATAGGATCCGTGTTTGTTCTGCTCTTATTTTGTGTTGTTTTATAGACTTTGAGATTGAATACTATTCTTTATCTCCATATCCTTCATAGAACATTTATATATATATATATATATATATATATATATATATATATATATATTTAGGTGGTACTAGTTAGAATAATCTAACTGTGTCTCGGTACAAGCCCTCACCACAGTTAGAATACGTCCCATATACTTCCAATGTAGCAAATCGGAGCGGATCCGCTATTTTGAGGAATATAAAACGATTTGCACTGGAAATGACTATCAAATTAATCAAAACAAACCTTTTTGAAGTTGCATATGCCTTTTATCCCAAAAAATAATCCATATAATAACGAAAACACAATTAATTTTCTCAACGTTTTTCTCTCGCTTCAAATTTACCTGCCATGTTTACATTCGGAACTCTCTAGAGTGTTGGTAGTAAATGTACAGTAAATGTACTAGTACGAGTTATCGCCCGTGTTTCTTTTGCTACATTACGAATACACGGAACGAATTCTATCGTTAAACCGGGTCCGTAGGACATTTATCATTTTAACGATAGAACATTCTATCTAAGGTGGTACCGGTAGGCAAGTCAAAGATTTTTGTCGAACAAACGTGTCTAACTCTCCGTTTCGCCAAATCGTTTCCTTCATGCTTGTCAGACGATTTTATTTTTTCTCTCCATCATACCTAAGGTGAAAATGTTAACTTTCAAAACTAATACATGTTACTTTTATTACAACTCCGCTATTTCTCATACTTTTCAAAACAGGCTTCCGCGAAAGCAAGCAAGATAGTATGAATCGGTATTAAGCTGTTATCATTTAATTAATAAATCATTACATTGTATATAAAATAATTGCTCGTAATTGCTTTCAACGTACAATATTCGGCTCACTTTTTGATCTCGGTGAAAATTAAACTTCTTTTGTTGCAAAATAATCGCATTCATCTAAAAAACTGCAACTCCTACATGTATAAAGCATCATATCCAAATCACTACAATTTAAAGATATCCTTAAATTTAATTTTCGGGTTAATTTTCGAAGTTTGAAGGGACTTACAAATTTAGGCCTACATGTACTTTTTCACAGTCATGAACACTCAACAATCCTCAAGCCACACGACGCCGGACGAAAACGGATAGCAATAGGTCACCTGAGTTACTTTATCAATAATTTGCCTCGTATCAAAAATTCTTCGCAGGTAAAGCATGTATATGCGTATCAAATAACTCAGAGATGGAGAGTTCATCTGCAGGTGATAATTATATTTTTACATATAAAAATAAGGTTAATTGATAAGATAAAGACATCACGTTTATCATTTAAGGAATGTTTTTAAGTTTTGTGTGAGTTATTGGTGTGTGAATCACACAGACTTGTCACGTAAGCATATTAGGGATACACAAAGCCATGACCACACCCTACCGTCCGTCAGGGAATGGCAAGGTAAAGCGCTATAACCGCACCCTAATGGACGCGGTTCGCTGCTACGTAGATGGCCAGCCCAAGTCATGGGATAAGTACCTAGGCCCATTGGCGGGAGCATTGTGGTTCGCGGTAAACCGCCATACCGGGTATACTCCAAATCGTCTAATGCTGGGTCGCGAAGTAAATATACCAGCGACCTTAATGTTCGCCCCACTTCGACGTATTTTCAAAATGGGGAGGAGGGTGAGGTGGACAGATATGTACATGACCTTGAAGAAAATGTTCAAGGAGCGCACGTCATTGCCCGCAAGAAACTAAAAGTCGCGCAAAAGGCAATGAAGAGGTCGCATGACATTAAGGTCCGTACCAGCAAGTTCGAGGTCGGAGATTTGGTTTACTGGCGCCGCAATGCGGGAAAAAAGGTAGAGTCAGTCTGGAGGTGTCCTGGGATAATAATCGAAGCCAAATCGGACACAATATTTGTAGTCAAATCTCGGCGCGAGGTCAAGGTTATGCACCATGACAAGCTTAAACGGTGCGAGTGCAGGCAACTCCCCAAATGTTAATTAATTATAAGAATAAGTTGCCCGGACAGTCAGTAGCCGGAGATGGGGATAGTTCCCTTATACATGATGTGGTGGCACCGGTGGGGATCGCAGACTCAGGAATTAGTCCTGAGAGCCCGGGGGAGTGGGGGTCACTCAGAAGTTAGCCCCAAGCCAGCGGAGTCAGAAGGTCCGTATATGGGTATTCGCAAACGGGTTAGGGAAAGACTAGATCAGTCCGCACAGCCCAAGTCGCCCAAAAGACCTAGAGCCACTAGGGGAGCTTAAACCAGAAAATATTGTATTTGCTTACAGTCTAATCCCAAGGGGATAATGGTGCAGTGCGACAACTGCCGGGACTGGTTTCATCCTGGATGTGTGGGTATTAGTGAGGATTATGCTAAATCAGTACCTCAATAAATCTGCCCCGAACGGAGTCCCGTCGGAGTCGACAAGGGCTAGGTAGAGCAGTTAGGTTTCCGCAGCGATGCGGAAGCATGTGCAAGTCTCAGTTGGGTTTACATCAGGTTAGGGGAGGCTTGTACATGAAGTAGATAGTTTAGACATTGGTTTGATAATTTTACCTGTCTTTGTAGGTTCATAAGTGATGTCTTAGGAAATAGATGAGTTTGTCTTCGAGGGCGGAAGCTCCGCCGAGGAAGAGATTTGTAGCTTACGGTTCGTTCCTATTTTGGTTCCTATCTTTATACATGGCTTTACTGGTGGGCCGGAGCAGGTGTGGCTCTGGGTAGATTCTGCCAGACCATTCTTTGGGGTAGGAGGTCAGATCGCGGATATGTCCGAGATCCAGTTGTCTGGGCTATTCCTACTGATAGATTGTTAGTCGAGTCGGACAGTCCCGACTTTCCTTGTGGAGTTGAGGCTCCGATGGGCCCTAGCTATAGGCACATCGGAGAAGTTTACCGTCGAGTTGCCGCAGCGAGGGGACAGGACGTCGCCCTACTAGCGGGTCTGGTCTTTAGGAATTTTAAGGTGTTTTTTGGGCCTCAGTTGAGGGGGTCCTTGTAGATTAATTGTATTTTAGCCCGAACGTGCAGCCGGAAGTACTTACCTGTACTTACCTAAATCAGGAACAGGTAAACCTGATTTCTTGGCCGCACTGTAGATGTCGCACCTGATGTAGTATGCAAAGCCTATCCAGATGTATCAACGTGGGACCACTTGGTAAACGACAGGAGTCGGATGGTTACAACGAGGGACCTCGTGGTATTTTGAGATGACGCGAAGGATGAGTGACTGTGTTAGGAACTGCTAAATCTGTGATTTTTATTACCGGTATATTAGAGACATTAATGTTTAAAGCTTTATTATTGTGTGAACGCATGTGCATGCATGTAAGATAAGCCCTGTTAGGTGTTAACTTTTTATTATTCGTATATTATAGTTTGTCCCATTGTATATATCTTACAGGCTGGGACGCCCTGTTACAAAATGTGGAGGAGTGTAGTGATCCTGGAGGAGCCGGGGACGATTCCCCTGTAGCCTCCGATCACGTGTCCTGCAGTGATGCGGACTGTGACGTAACTCTCTCTCTCTCTCTTGTGTTGAATGCAGTCCTGACAAGACGTGTTTATCTATTGTCTGTAAGTCATTGTGATATTGTGTGTATTATTGGCGACAACTAGCTAAGTAAAGTGCGGAATATTTACCATAGTTGTTTCTCTATATCCGCCATCACAGCCATGTAGGAGAGAAACGCTATACCCAGTTTCATCTTGTTTATATACATTGAAGTAAATAGCTCTACTGGTCAGAGACCAGAAAAGCTTATGCGATAGTAATGCGTCCATCGTCCGTCTGCCTGGAAACAATTTTTCAAAATGCTACTCCTTCAGTTTTGGTTCAATTTCATTATAACTAGGCACACAAGTAGACTATACTAAGATACGTCATTCTGTGCATAGGGTTTTGATTTTGATGAAGGGTGTTGCCGTGGTTACTAAAAATAGAAATATCTGTGAAATGCCTGTAAAATGCTACTCTTCCTACAGTTTTGGTCTAATTTCAATATAACTTTGCAAGTAGATAGACTACACTAAGATACAACGATGAAGTCGTGGTTACTTAAAATAGATATTTCTGAAATGCTTTCAAAATGTTAATCCTACAGTTTTGGTCCTTTTTCAATATAATTTGGCACATAAGAAGATTATACTAAGATACATAATTCTGTGCATCGGTTTTTATTTTGGTGAACGGTGTTGCCCTGGTTAGTAAGATTAGAAATTTCGCTTTTAAAATGCTCCTCTTACAGTTTTGGTTTGATTTCAATATAACTGGGCACACAAGTAGACTACGCTAAGATACGTAAATATGTGCATCGGTTTTTGAAAACGATGAACGATGTTGCCGTGGTTCACAAGTAAACTATACTATGAAACATA